TATTGTTTTTAAAAAGTGACATATTAGCACAGGCTTACATAGAACTTTATGATTTTGTTATACAATGTAGCATATTCGCCAAAAAGATGCAAGTAATGTGTAAATGATAAAAATTTAAATATTATGTTGTGATTTGATTTGATTAGAGATTTAAAAGAAACACATTAAAGATGACTGTGTAGGAACTACTTATAAATGAAATTAAATGGACGTGAATTAGTAAACTACACGATATTATTCCAAACGCGTATGATTAGCTTACTTACTCTTTTGTGTGGAATTTGATCAAAACAGAGAGAACATCTTAGAAATGGTAAATAATTATAATAATTTCTACTTTGCTTTTACTGATAATTTTAGAGAAGAAACAAAGCTCGTCTGATCATTGATCTGCGATTGGTTATAGAAAAATTAATAATTCTACTATCTCGGAAGTCCTTCTTTGCCTACTCACAATATTGAAAACCAATGGTTTACAGGATACATTTTAGGAAATATGTTTCTCGATAACATTTATCAAAATTTTCTAAGTTTAGTCAAGTTGTGAATGAATCAAATCACACAATGAAATTATTTTGGAAATTGGTATCACTACCCAAATAAGTACCAGAAAAGACGTCAGATCAATCTTTGGCTATAAATCAGAACTGAACAGATGTCAGATCAATCTCTGGCAATAAATCAGAACTAAACAGACGTCAGATCAATCTCTGGCTGTAAATCAGAACTGAACAGACGTCAGATCAATCTCTGGCTGTAAATCAGAACTGAACAGACGTCAGATCAATCTTTGGCTATAAATCTGAACTGAACAGACGTCAGATCAATCTCTGGCTATAAATCACAACAAATTAGTTGTCTGTATACTTTGAAGTAAATTAAAAAAAAATATGTTGTAATTCTTTTTAATTGCAGTGAGTTACAATGTCTTTTTGTTATGTATTGTACGATGAACGATACAACTAACTATCCAAGTCGTCAGACTGAAGCAAAACATTTTGCGGATCGTATAACCTACGTCGAAACTCGTTTTCCTGTTTTGGAAGAAATTCAAATTTGGTAGATGTTCTTGCCCCAGTAATCTTATCAATATAAGTACCAATCATCTCAGTTCCTCCTATCTCTAGTTCAACTCTTCCATGAGAAATTGGTGGCCATAATCCACCAGGTGGTGGCACATAGATAACTGCATGCAATGTTGTTCCTTTGTCTGTAACGTACATTGGATTTGGGGTTTCGGAAACGTATATTTCTACTTTGCCATCTTTTTTTCTTTCATTTTGTCTGATTTCATCTTCATAATTATAAGTCAAAGCTATACTTCGTCTTTCCCCCATATCAACTTGTTCGTCAATGGTGTAACACTTTTTAAAAATATCGTCACATATTTCTTCATCATTATCAATAAATAATTTTTTGGGGTCATGGACGTCATGTTGAAACGGAGCCGTGACAGCCACCCCGTATGTATAAGTACAAGTACGAGATGACACTATTCTAGGGTTGTGACCGTAAAGTACTGCGCCTTGCAGAACAGCTAGCCCTCCCTGTTGCGGAATGAATAATTCTTTGTCCGGGAATGCTTCTTTTATTCGAACACGTATTATTTCTGACTCAGAGAATCCACCAACCATCATAATGGTTGAGACTCCAGAACACTGTGGATCTTTTAAAACATTTGTTATTTCCTCAACTATACATTTGATCGATTCAGCAAAAAAGCTAAGAAATATTTTTTCTGTGATAATTAACTTATCTCTTTTTATGCTCAAATTTTCTTTCATGCTTCCGTCTTGTACTAAATCTGAAAAACTGCAACCGGTTGTTTCGGAAAGAATATCACACAGTGTAACTGGTAATCTTACTATGACATTTTTACCTACAAATGTTTTCTTTTTGGTTTCAAAGTTTTTCATCATATCTGTATAATCATAAATATGGTTTTCCTTAAAATGACGAAGGACCTCTCCACCACATATTTTCGTAAGCAGTCGTCTGTATTCTTGGTTAATAAATTCACCGCCATACGGTCCACCACATGCCCGATGTATTATAGCAAGACCACCATTTTCTGCCACTTTTTGTGCTGATATGTCAATTGTTCCACCTAAAAAGTATATAAGGTTTTTTTTTATAATTAAAACATTGCATGCATTAAAGTAAAGAAAAGGAGGAATCAAGATGCCCATGCAAGCTAGCACGAGCAAACTTCCACTATTCCGATTTACTTTTAAATTTTAATAATGAAAGGCAATTTTTGTTAACCTAGCAAAATTCTGAAATGCGATTTTTTTAGTTTTGGTATTTTAATTCCCATTCACACACGTTTCAATATAATTGAAGTTAAGGATATAAGTTTGATACCATTCCAACAGTACATAAAACATTAAGTGCCCTTAAAATGAATAAGTTAATAAGTGAGATATATTATCTGATGTATAATTGAATTTTGGAATCACTAGTTAAATCTTTATAAAAAAAAAAGATCTGCACGAAAATGACACTAGGTTCGCAAAATTCAAGTTCAAAATTTCAAAGACCTCTGCTATAAGTAAAACAGCATATAAATTTTGAACAAAGATAGTATACGTCATATCCCCTATTATTCGTATATTGAGATGGAGAGAGAGATTTACGAGGATTAAAATACCACAAATATCAAAATGAAAAGCGTTTAATGTCATAAAAATTATTTGAAAACAAAAAGTTCGATTTTATATATGCATGTTCAGATACTATAATTTATTTAAACAGTGAATTTTACAACCGGTAATATTTTTACTAGCTAAGTGTAAATATTTAAGCATAAAAGGAGATGTTTCCCTTCGATCGATATCAAACCTCTGACATCAGTCATACGTTTGATATCGATCGGAGGAAAAAGTCAAATAAATTGAACAGTTTGAGATGCATATTGGTAAAATCAATTAATCAAAAGTATCCAATGAGGATACTTTCCTGTGGTAAGTATAATGACATTTTCCGTTCTAAACTTAATTTACTTAAAGTTGTTTAAAAAAGCACGAACCTCCGCCATCTACAACTATAAATTTTTTCCCAGGTTCAAAGCTCTTCAATGAAAATGTGTTATCATCGCCAGCTACTCTTTCTAGAGGCAAACTTTTAGCATAAATAGAAGCAGCTTCCGGTTCATAAACCAATGCAAATTTCTCCAAATGAATACCGGCCTTAAATATAGAACGTCAAATTTATTCATTATAAACATTGTTCAAAGTGCAAGAAGAATCTTTTGAATATTTTGGAAATTTTTTAAATATCTATAAATTTGATTTCAACTGGTTTTTTTGTTTGTTTTTTTTTTTGTTAACTAAAATAAGTATCGTTTATCGTATTTTGAAATTCTTGTCACCATCGATACACTGTATGAGCAAAAAGGGTGCCACAAGTGGAGCAGGATTGAACCACTTACCCTTTTGAGCATTTCAGTTCATCCTAGATTTTTATGGAATTGAATTGATTTTGTTTAATATTAGTTTTCGGTACCATCTTCGCGGACTTTTGTTTTCTTTTGTTATTATATCTGTTTTATCATGTTCACGACCATAATTAACAGGAGTGTGCTCCTTACACAAAAACTGATCCATCAGAGTTATGAAGAAGAAATCGACACTAAATAAGTTTTGTGTTGGTGGTTCAAATCGCTAGCGACGTGTTTACGCGGTTTTAGATCTTTGGATAACAGTAAAGTAGAATGATCTGTAATTTTACCAATTATGTTCTATATTCCCGATTATGTCTTATGACATTTTGACTGACTGTTGATTTGAATGGCGGATGGTAAATAGATCGCAGGAGACGCTTTCCCTGTCGACGCACCCGGTATCGCTCCTTTCTGAGCTCATGCGATTCCCTCTGTTTTTTGTTTGTTACATTGATTTGTCTCTTCTTAATCGATTTACGAGATTTGAAAATCGTCAGAATACATGCAAAATGTATTACCTGCTTTCATCTTAGATATCGTGTTTTGGTTTAAAGTTGCATACCCTACATACCTTTTGAGCTGACTGTTTCATAAATTGTTTGCATGCATCATCCCATATCGCTGGGACAGTGATTACCCAGGTAATATATTCTTCAGGTACCCCAGTATTTCTGTGTTCAAGCTGGTCAATCACGTGCTTTCTCAAGTAACCAATGGCATAAGACAAAACTAATTTGCCTGAAATCTTTTTCCCGGTAATGTCTTTCATAAGTATGTCCTGCCGCACATCCTGTGAAAAGAAATATGGACGATGGACATTTAATAATGATGCTGTTTATTTGCATGCTCATGTAGGGTAAGAAATTAATTTAATGTGTGAAGGGATTAATATTCCAATAAAACACATCTGACTATCATTGGGTTAATGAGTTGAAAAAGTTTCTACTTTCTTTCACTTGTTTGTTTTTTCAACAAACAGTTGCAGACATATTGTAAAAGAAAAGAAAACAATATAGATAAAAGGCGACATGGGTTAGATTAGAAAGGAACCATACTGTACAGAAAAAAAATAAAAAGACATGTGAATAGTAACACGGTCTTCAAAAATGGTAGTTGCCTATATAAATTGTCAAACTCTAAAACGTCCCGCGTTTAAATATATTGTGTATAATACATTAAATTTGGAACTTAATCTGCTGATGTATAAGTATATTTACACACCGATTTCGTTTGCTATATTATTTTTTTTGTCCTTTCTAATAAGTCTATAAACAATTTTTTTTTTTTTTTTTTTTTATTCAACAACAATATTGCACATGCTGTTAACAGATTTCTTCACTGGTACAGCTATTTCAGTGTAGATCCCTGTATATTAGTACCTTAAGACCAGGGTATCTTCAGGTATATATTTATAATTTTGTTAGTATGTATATTATTTGTCTTTAATACATTGTTTATCATTAATACATTATTTCTCTATTATTTTACTATTATAATTCTGAATATGAACTTTATATATATAGTAAAAAAAAACAGTTTTCTTTAATATACAATCAATTGCTACTATCTGATAGATGTTGAGAATAAAACAGAATAACGGGTTATGTTAGCGTGTTCGGAATTTGGTTTGTGGTTTAATATATTTCTCTGTTGTCCGGTATATAACGGTTTTTCAGTTGTTGTATTTTTGTGTGGATTAATTGCTTTCACCACGTGTCTCCCAAATATAATTGTATTAGGCACGGAAGGTATGTACAAAAAAAAAAATTTAGTCTCATATAGTAAGCATAATTTATATATCTTCCGTATAATCTAAAATTATAGTATATCAATTTGTGGTAGAAATAAGTGGTTAACTTTCACTTTCAAAACTCATTGAAATTGTAAAATGAAATGATCATCTATCAAACCGTTCTGTTAATTTACATATATAATAACAATATTGACAATAATATAACAATGTTGTCAAATATAAGAATATATCTTTTCTAGTATCCCTTTTCCTTCAATATTAATATATTTTTTTTGTAATAATAATCCTTTTTTAAATTCTGACCTAAAAACATTATATAGATTGATTTTTTTTGTCCTATATTCTGACAAATAGTGTATTTTGTGTATAGTGAACACAATAACTAAGTAAAAAGTTTATTTCATAATAATGTTCATCATTAATTTTATATCCCCAGATTAAATTTTTTTCAGTGAAAATGTGTCTACCAATCTTAGCTATTTCAAATAACTTATAATTTCCCCCCAAAACTCATCTAAAAAGTGGCACGTTACAAAAAAATGTTCATAGTCTTCTGTAAGGTTACAAAAATTACAGGTAGAGTTATGGCTTATTTTCCATTGTTTTAACAACACTTTGTTTGGAAGAATAAAGTGTAATAGTTTCCATCTGCACATTTTCAGTTTATTATCTTTTAAATAGTTATGAATAAATTTTTGCATATATTGAGCTTCACTTTGTATATTTTCACATTTTAATATTCTGTTCCACTTATGATACCCTATTGGAACTTCTTTATCATATTCTATTAAAATTGTATAAATTTTCTTCGAATCTAATTTTTCTAGTTTATGTTTGCAATTATTTTTTTCACTTATATATAGTGAGTTATTTGTTAAAACACTAGTTTTTATTGAACTTTCTTCATTTAATATTTTTAACCATTCTTTTGGAATTGCTTTTCTTAATTTTGAGAATTCAGCTATCCAATTCGATTTATTCTTTAATTTTAAACTTATAATTTTTTCTGAAAAGACTCCATTTTCATCAATAATATCATTTATATGAATGATATTGCTATCTATCCAGTTTTGGAAAAGTAGTGTTTTCTTTTGAAATTTGATCAATTGATTTCCCCAAATGACTTCTTGGCGGATAAGTCTGTAATTATTTGGATGTTTAGTTTTATTATTTTTATTTTTTAACCATACTTTAATCATATCAAGATAAAATTCTGGTAGCTCTTTAGTGCCTGGTAGCGAGTATATATGATAAGTATTCATTCTTAAGATAAGTAGATTGCTACCAAATTTATTTAGATAAAATTTTGGTATAACCATCCAATTAAGAAATTTATCAGCAGTTAATCTTTTTATCCAACCTATCTTAATAGATTCTATATATTTATCTATATTTACCATTTTTAATCCGCCATCTAGTTGGTTGAAGCTTAATACAGTGCGTTTAACTTTTTCTGTCTTATTGTTCCATAGAAATTCATATATAATTTTTTTAAATTTATCTAAAGACTCTTTGCCCAAGGTTGAGACTGTAGCCAAATAAGTAATTATAGGAATACCGGTAACTAAAGATTTAATAACTGTTATTCTTCCTATCATGGTTAAGTTTCTTTTTTTCCAATTAGATATAATTTTTACAGACTTTTCTAGCTGTTTTTCAAAATTTAGTTTAAGACACTCTTCTTTGTTATGCCCAAAATATATCCCTAGACTTTTAACTGGTTTATCTGTAAAGTTTATATTTTCATATTTTTCTTTACAATGTTTTTGTTTCCCTAGCCAAATACCCTCCGTTTTAGATCTGTTAAGTTTTAATCCTGACAGTGAACCAAATGTTTCAATCATGTTAAGAGCTTTTGAAATATCTTGTTTTGATTTGAGAAAAAGAGTGGTGTCATCTGCTAGCTGACTTATTTTTAAAGTATGGGTTTTTCCATCTATCTTGATTTCAAATCCTTTAAGGTTATGGTCTTGCCTAATTTTACAAGCTAGAATCTCCACAGCAATAACAAAAATTATCGCACTACATGGACAGCCTTGGCGTATTCCGTGATATATACTCATGGGTTTTGAAATCCACCCATTATTTAAAACTGAACTTTTTATGTCAGAATATAAAAGTTTTATCCATCTCATCATAGAATTTTTAAATCCAAATTTTTGTAAAGCAAAGAACATAAAATCCCACTCTAATGAATCGAATGCCTTTGAAAAATCTAAGAATAATAAAGCGCCCTCTATATTAAATTTGTCTGCATAATCTATGACATCTTGAATTTGTCTAATATTATATCCTATATATCTGTTTTTAACATACCCATTTTGATCTCCATGAATAATTTGGGGTAATATTTTGATGATTCTTTGAGCAAGTGAATAAGCAACTAATTTTGTGTCAACATTCAATAATGTTATTGGTCTATAATTGTCTAAACTGAGAGGATCATTTTTTTTATGTAAAAGGGAAATAACTCCTAATTTTTGTGAATTTGTTAACTCCCCTTTATCAAATGAGAAATTAAAAGTTTTGACTGCAAACTCTTTAAGATGTTCCCAAAAAGTTCTATAAAATTCGACACTTAAGCCATCAATTCCTGGGGCTTTATTTAGTTTCATTTTAAATAATGAATCTGTGCATTCTTGAGTGCTTAATAAGCCTTCCATACTATCGCCTTCTTTATCTGTTAGGACATGATCACATTCTGTATTCATAACATAATCTTTTATAAAATTTTTATTGGGATTTGAACTTTTATAAATTTCTTCATAAAATTCCCTTTCAAGATTTAGTATTTCTGTAGGATGTGTATGTATCACCCCCTCTTTGTCCCTGAGTGCTGTTATAGTTTTTCTTGTTTGCCTAGCTTTTTCTAGTCCCAAGAAGAATTTTGTGTTTTTTTTCTCCTTCTTCTACCCACTTAATTCTAGATCTTATTTGTGCTCCTTTTGTTTTTGAATCATATAGTTTACCAAGTTTTTCTTCTATAATATTAATTTCCTCTTTAAAAGAGTTTATAGCTTCCTTTTTACATTTTTTGTTTGTACCCTCATTTAATTTCTTCAATTTGTTTTCTAAAATATGTATTTCTTTTACATTATTTTGTGCTTTTCTTTTGCAGAATGCTATGGTGTGGTCTTTAACCTCAGTTTTAAACAGATCCCACTTGACACCAATATCATTGGTGAGTAATATTTTCTTTTCATATTGTTTGATTAGAATTTTGATAAGGTTTTGATATTCTTCATTTTCTAAAATACTATTATTAATTTTAAAGTATCCTTTACCTTTTTGGTCTGATCGACCTTTTATCTTTATTGAAATTGCCTGATGGTCTGTATGAGTTATAATAGCTGGCCTAATATCAGTAGATTCTATTTTAGTTCTTATTTCAGGACATGTTAAGAAAAAATCTATTCTAGATGCTTCATTTAAATTATTTTTACGTCGCCAAGTAAATTGTATTTCCCTACTATAAAGCTCTCTCCAAATATCACTTAGTTTTTGGGTTTTAATTAAAGATTTAAGGCTAAATACTGGTTTTGTTTGTTTTGAATTTTGTGTTGACATTTTTTTTTTGTTATCTATTTTTGTTAAAGTGTCATTCATATCTCCTCCAATTATAACCATTCCTAGACTATTTTTTGTAACTACTTCTTTAACTTTTTTGAAAAAAATATTTCTTTTTTTAGGTATATTTGGTGCATAGACATTTACTAAGGTGTAAATACTGTCTTCAATTTCAACATTTATTAAGAGTAGCCTGCCCTCTTGGTCTTTGAACATATTTATAAATTTGCATTCTAAATCGTTATTAATAAAAATTGAAACTCCTCTGGACTGTGAGGTTCCAAAGCTATGATATTGTTGACCTTTAATTTCAGAATTTAAGTCTTTCTCTAAATCTTCAGTGAAATGACTTTCCTGAACAAACAAAATATTACATTTTTGATATTTCATCCACAAATATAATCTATGTCTTTTATCTTTTACTCTGAGACCTTGACAATTTAAAGAACATATATGAATTGTTTTTGTCATAAGTTTTTGTTTGTGTTAATATAATATATTTATTTGAATGTTTATTGAGCCTACCCAACAACATTCTTGTATTCTCCTAGTTCTGATTATTCTTTTAAATGTATACACATATTTCAATAATATACAATATTCATTTTGCATTATTACACAAGTTAAAAATAATACAAACCAGAGATTTTCTAATGAATTTGTTACAGAACATTTGATTAAAATCAAAAACACATTATCAGAGACATATGTGTCTCCAACATTATTAGGTCTATTACATTGTGATGCTGTGCAAAAAATAATGCTGTGACATGTCAATTTCAATATTGTAAACAATTGATTTCCTTCATTTCGTAACACCTGTTGTTTTCTATTTTTAGACACCAGACAACGTAGCTGAAGAAACAATAGTAATTGGATCTTATCGTGTAAATTTTGGAATAGTGATTTCGTAAAACTTGGTGTTCTATTAATGGAAATTGAGCTCTGCGTATAAAGAATTGACATGCTTTGAACAGGAAAAAGTAAAAGGATGTAATAGCATATTACTGAACAAAAGGAAAATAGACAATGACAGTTGTGCGAATAAAACGGATAAAACGATGTGAGCTTTTTTGGGTAATAAATTGTAGAGTTCAATATCTGGAACATAAACAAGATTTTACCTGTTGGACACAGAATAGGTACTATTAATAGATTTATTTTTTCCCAAGATTTCTGTTTTCTCTTCTTGGGAGTAATTGTTATAAAATGTTTAAATTTCTGTATAATTATTATATTTTCTTTTCTATTAAAAAAAAAATTGTACAAACTGCAATTGTTTTGTATTAGATTAATATAATTATAATTAAAGTATTTTAAATTGACATACTTTTGTATTCTCTTATACATCATTTTGTTTGTTTCAGATTTGACTGATTTATTTTCATCCACATTTGAATGTATGTAATCCTCAATTACATCACACTCATTTTTATTTTTATATTTTTTGTTATATAAAAACAGGCTAAATATTACAATTATATACAAATATTTACACTTGTAGCTCATTGTTGATTTATTGTATTAGGTTTATTGGTTTGGTTACATTTCCGTTTACAGCTGGCCCTAAGTTTTTGTCTTTTGAATAGGGACAGCTTCTTTGTGTTTGATTTCTGTTGGCGTGCTGGCATTTCTTTTTCCATTTTTTTTGGCGGCCGGGGTATTGGTATTTTCTGTCTGTCCCTTGAAATATTGTTCAATATTCCCACCGGGTTCTGTATTTTTTTTCTTCTTTTTATGTTTTGGCTTTTTTTTTTCAACATTTTCTCCATCATTCACTATTTCTTGATCGCACTGTATTTTATCTTGTAAATGGTTATCACCTGATTGGGCATTTTCTTTAGCATGAATATTACCAAGGACATCACCAGAGTTGGAAGGCTGAGGTACGTCATGAGCAGGCGGGACTTCAGTGTCTTCTGTGTCGGCATCATTGGCATCTGATTCATCTTCACTAGAGGAGTTGGAAGTGTTTAAATCTTCAGGACAGTCGGCCTGCCTGTGACCAGGTTGTTTGCATTGTAGGCATATCCAATCGTTAGGACATTGCATAGCCTTATGTCCTGTCTGTAAACACTTTCTGCATACTATTTTGTGACCTTCTGAAGCATTTTGATTAGCATGCAAGACTGTAGCAACATATTTGCCTATTAGCATAGATCTTGGCAGGGGTTCGCTGACAGGATCACACATCACAATTCTATCCCCTGTTTGACAATTAGTCAGCTCACCATCTACACGAAGGCGTTCTCGATACGATTTGTGCACAATGCACCCATGGTATTCTAATGCGCGTTCAATTTGTCCATCATCAGCTGAACAGGGTACATTTTTGACACGTATTTTTAAATGATTTGGATTTTCATTTACCATGACTCTAGGGTTGCGTGTATACACAATTTGTTTTACGGTATCATAGGCGGATCCAGGGGGGCCCTGGGGGCCGCCCCCCCCCCCCCCCCCCCCCTTTTGTGGGAAAAATTTGGTTGATTATATAGGGAATCACTGAATCATGACTGTAGCGGGGCCACTCTTATAGCAGTCAGTGCCCCCCCCCCCCCCAACCACCCCCACCGCCGACCCCTTATGAAAAGTTCTGGATCCGCCACTGGGTATTGTTGATATGGAAATCATCCTTCCACTCTAATATCGTGCGATTTACATATAGATACAACAACATAATAAACAACATAGAACAACACATCAGATGCAAACTGTACAATTAAAGATGAATCCATACATGAAAAGCCTTTATTTGTTCTTCTTTTACCTTTTAAGCCGGAACATGCGTTTTCCGAAAACAATTGTGGGTTAAACCGGGTTTTATACTAGCTAATCCTCCAACTTGTATGATAGTTGTTTATAACTTAACTTTATATTGACAAAATTGGGTGAGCAAGCCAAAAAGACATAAAAGGTCAATGTGACAACAATTGGTATCCAGCAGTCGAAACTGTGTAAACATACATCACGGACATAAATCACTACAGACAAATAAAATTCAAACACACATACAAATATATCTAACAAAGACGCCAACAAAAATATATTGTAGTTGATAGTAAATCTTACAACGACGCGAACAAAGAAAGTTATTGTAATTGATAGTGAATCTGACAACGACGCCAACAAAGAAAGTTATTGTAATTGATAGTGAATCTGACATAGATGCCGACAAAAAAGTTTGTGTAGTTGATAGTACATGTAATACTAGTATATATAGTTTGCACTTTCTCGATAAAGTACAAATTAAAGTAAAATATAAATACAAGGGTGAATAAATGAAAACATCACTGTAAAAACCTCTTGCATCCGAATCGCACCTCTCGACCCGTCTGCACCAAGAACGCCCAAAGCCAAAAGCCAAAAATCCGATAGCTGGATGCATAAATACCGATTCACTTTAAGAGTCTTTTGACCAAAAGACAAAGACAAATAAAGGAAAAGCTGTAAAGTAAAAAAAAAAAAGATACACAACATCAGGACCTAGTATCTTAATTCAAGACCATCTTGTATTATTTGTCAAATAGACATTGAATATGTATCTATTAGGTCTTGGTGAAAGGAAAAGAAAAGAAAAGGAGAAAAGATCCTTTCTTAAACTTTCCTTTGACAACATGGTCTCGATGCCATCAAATTGGGCAATATCCTTCGTCATAAATCAGTTTACTCGAAAATACCTCCCTATTTTAAAGATCAGTCTGTACCTATCATTTCTTATACCTATACCAAACCAATTGCAACTAAAATTTTCAATTACAAACACGTGTTGCAGGATCTCAATATTGACGACTTCAAGTCTAAACCTCCTAATTGCACCTGTGCTAGTTCCCCATTCATACACGTTATTAGCGGTGACCTAAACATTGTCAGTAACACTTCTCTGCGAAATGCGTTATCCAAAGGCCCGAAATATCGTGACCCTAAATCCATCAATTGGAAACACAACTTCAAAATACTGATGGATTCAGTCAAGGATTATGCCAGGCAATGGGTTAAACGCGAGAAAGAAGACGTAGATACTCTTTCCGAATTGATTAAGGCTGCGAGATCGTTGATACAAATCAGAATTATGAAACTGAATGGGTCTATTAATACCCATGCTACATCAATCTTTAAAGACCCAAATGTTGCAAAACACTTGTCCTACCTCCTTGACAAATATGTTGTTGTCCCCTCAGATAAAGCCCCAAACAAGATAGTTTTTGTGTGTAAATCACATTACATAAACTGCTTTATAAAGGAATTAGGTATTGACAATTCACTTGGAAACTCAACATATACCCCCAGGACACTTACTAAAGAGGAAATCATGGAAAATCATAGGGTCTGTTCTATGTTCTTTTGGAATTTCAACCAAAGATGAAGAACTGGATCTTCCATCACTGTATTGGATACCCTCAATTACATAAGTGTCCTTACAAACAACGGTATATTGCTGGGTCTTCCAAGTGCTCCACGAAACCTCTTTCTAAATCATTAACATTAATTTTATCAGCAATCAAAGCCGGGCTTCAAATTTATTGTGAAACTACCTATTCTAGAGGTAGCGTGAATCAGATGTGGATACTACGAAATTCCAAAGATCTTTTAGAGTGCATAAATATAAGACTCTTTCATCTTGCAATAGTATTAAAACATTTGACTTTTCTACACTTTACACAAGTATTCCCCATTCCAAACTAAAAGACAAATTGAAAGAGTTGGTCCTGCTTTGTTTCATAAAAAAGAATGGCCAACGTATATACAAGTATCTTGTCTTAGGGAGGGATAAATCCTACTTTGTAAAAAATCACTCTGATTCAAACCAAATATTCTCTGAAACTGACATTATCAAGATACTTGATTTCTTGATTGACAACATATTTGTTACGTTTGGAGGACGTGTTTTTCAACAAACAATCGGCATTCCCATGGGAACAAACTGTGCCCCTCTTCTTGCCGACTTGTTCCTTTATTCATAAGAGGTTGACTTCATACAGGAACTGTTTAGGAAGAAAGAAAAGAAGTTAGCAGTATCCTTTAACTTTACTTTCCGCTATATAGATGATGTTCTCTCACTAAATAATTCAAAATTGGTGACTATGTTGAACGCATCTATCACATCGAACTTGAGATAAAGGATACAGCAGATACAGTTAAGTCTGCATCATATCTTGACTTACATCTAGCAGTTGACAATGAGGGTCGGTTGAAAACAAAACTTTACGACAAAAAGAGATGATTTCAGCTTCCCAATTGTGAACTTTCCGTTTTTATGTAGCAACATTCCAGCAGCGCCTGCATACTGAGTATATATCTCCCAGTTGATACGATATTCCAGGGTTTTTTTTCCTATCATGATTTTTTTGATAGAGGGTTGCTGCTCACAAGGAAGCTAATAAACCAAGAGTTCCAAGTTGTGAAGTTGAATTCATCCCTTTGTAAGTTTTACGGACGCCATCACGAGTTGGTTGACCGTTATGGAATATCCGTTTCATAGATGATAGCGGAGATGTTCCTAATGTCGTAATTACAATCCCGTCCCCTTTTCCCTAATGTAATTTACCGAATTAGACTTATGGCCGGGTTTGTACTAACATGAGCAATACGAAGGGTGTCACATGTGGAGCAGGATCTGCCTACCCTTTCGGAGCACCTGAGATCACCCCTAGTTTTTGGTGGGGTTCGTGTTGGTCAGTCTTTAGTTTCTATGTTGTGTTTTGTGAACTATTGTTTGTCTGTTTGTCTTTTTCTTTTTTAGCCATGGCGTTGTCAGTTTATTTTCTACTTATGAGTTTGAATGTCCCTCTGGTATCTTCCGCCTCTCTTTTGAAACATTTAAGTATTTGTATGAATTTACATAGACTCGTTGAGTGTTTGAATTATTATTTCTTTTATCGCCTAAGCAAGGAATCTCCATACAATTCTGAAGATATATAAAGTCAAGAAAACAGGAGAGTAGTGGTGTATCAACACTTAATATAGTTGGACAAATGAAAGAAGACAGTGCATCCAGAAGCACTAAATCACCAGTTCCAGTCTGTATTTATAGAGGAAGACATGGCTTCTTTTCCAAACATAGGACCAGGTACCATCAATAAGATTGAAGACATCAAAATTGAAGAAAAAGGAATAGCAAAGCTACTAAAACAGCTAAATATCAATAAAGCTATAGTGGTCCAAACAAAATATCCTGCAGAATATAAAGGGAACAGCAGATGAAATGTCTCCTTATCTGAAATACATATTTGAAAGATCATTATACCTAAGACAAGTCCAGCACGATTGGACAACTGCAAATGTAACTTCACTATTCAATAAAGGAGATAGATCAAAACCAGTA